CACGAGACCTAGTACAGCTGACACGAGACCTAGTACAGATATCACGAGACCTAGTACAGCCAGCACGAGACCAAGTACAGCCAGCACGAGACCTAGTACAGCTGACACGAGACCTAGTACAGATATCACGAGACCTAGTACAGCCAGCACGAGACCAAGTACAGCCAGCACGAGACCTAGTACAGCTGACACGAGACCTAGTACAGATATCACGAGACCTAGTACAGCCAGCACGAGACCTAGTACAGACATAACGAGACCTAGTACAGCCAGCACGCGTCCTACTACAGCTAGCACGGAACCTAATACATCCAGTACTGGACCTAATACRGCGAAGAYCTCAGTGAAARAKGCCGTTTKGGGACAGAATGCTGAAGGCTTCAGTATTGATACTAAAGCTGCTCACCACGTGTTACACACAATCGTGGAGGAAGCACCGCAAGTAACACCTCAGCTTGCGGCCGCTAATAAACCCGGCGGAGATTCTCGACACAAGCCACAAGCTAGGAAAGCAACAGCTAATAAGGGACGTGGAACAGGCGCAAAACCAACGAAAGGAAGTCAGGGAGTAAGCGGAGGAGGTCAGGGAGTAAGCGGAGGAGGTCAGGGAGTAAGCGGAGGAGGTCAGGGAGGAAGAGGTGGAGGTCAAGGGGGAAGAGGTGGAGGTCAAGGGGGAAGAGGTGGAGGTCAAGGAGGTGGAAAAGGAGATGGAAAAGAACAAAGAAAAAAGAGAAATTGGTTCATATACCTTCTTGGAATGACTGAGGAGCAGTTTAACCATACTTTTCAAATTATTGTTGAAGAAAATGGGGTTTACGAGATCATAGCACCTGAGGGTATAAACTTTGTCCATGCATTCGTAACGACAGGTGATAAACCTACAAATCTGGTCACTGGCCAAAGTGCACGTTCAGCCGGTGAACTATGGAGGCGGGTTACAGGGAGCCCTATAAGTGAAAGTCCCTGTTGTGTCACCAACTGTACTAATCCAGCATGCAATGGACAGACACAACAAGTTGCAGCCCATGTTTACCTGACAAGCCAATCTCAAGCCAGTCCTATTCAGTACATGATGCTAATACCAACATGTAGTGCTTGTAATAATACCTGGCAAAGTCAMAATAACAACACTACGTATCCACGAGATGGGCAGTCTGTGCAGACAGCAAATCCATTGAATGCACGTCCTGGTACGMAGGTGATATTCATAAGAATTGATGATAATACAGCTGGAAGAAAAGGAGCCGGGAAAGGAAACGGAAAAGGTGGATCCAGTGGTGGCGGCAACAGCAAAGGGGGCAGCAGTACATGAAAATAACTGCCAGCGAGGTACTCAAACAGTCATCACTGACTCCATATTTCCAATGAAATATTAAAAACAAACTCTAGTTTGCTCATGAGTAATCAGTCAATCAGGTTGAAGAATATTTTGCGTGATTTTAAACATAAGTCGAAATGCAATACATTTCCTCCAATCTATTCACCTAGCCTTCAGTTATAGCCATGTAAAATGCGGAAATATAATATCTTTTAGTTCTTAGCATTATTTTGTAATTACAATAAGCTTGAGAGATGGAACTTTTGTTTGATYGCAAATTTTAAAAGCACAATCGATCTTGCTCAATTTGAAAAACTGTGCTTCATACAGTAACTGTTTAAGTTAACTGAATTTAGATTACAAGTTTATTGTTTGATTTAAATCATACATTTATTAATGTGAACTTCGCTTTTAGCACTGGATAAATCTATATATTATCGAATATTAGCAATAATGCACCTTTGGGGTTTACCAAAACAAACATAGTAAGTACGATCAAGGTTGTTATGAACTTGTTACAACAAAAATATTGTCAACAATATAGTTTTGTTCAGAAGATGTATATCTGGTCCACTTAGTTTGGGTGTTTTGAATAATATCGCTTTGTCAACTTGTATATAATTTACTCATTTTACACCTGCCAAAACACAGGTTTATAAAAAAWTATGCACCCCTCGGTTGAAAAAGCAGTAGATCACCTGTAACTACTGGCTTAAACGATTAGTGGGTAATATCTTAAACAAAATAATAGTGATTTGATTCAAACCCACACCATTTTCTTAAAATGAGTAAGTTCGTAGCTGGTCATTTTTAATATGTTTTTTTATTTATTTCATGTTAAACTAAAATATTGTATTTTCTAGGGGAATGGGTTTTAGAAGTCATTTAAAAAACTCGTAGTTCGTGTTTTATCGAGTGGATATAAATACTCGGCCTTTGGCCTCGTGTTTATATCTCACGATAAAAAAAACTCCTATACTCGATTTTTAAATATCACGTAAAAGTTACAACTATATAAAATATAAATACTGGCAACATGTTTTCACATATCTTAACTGCCATAAGATTTATTATCAGATATCATTTCTGTAGCAGTTCAGCTTACAAGATGTGATGTGTAAAATAATACTCGAGACTGTTGTGTGATATTAATATTTTTTACCTTGCACAAGAAAACCTGAACTTGTTTATTTGTTGACAGAATAGAAATAAAATAATATGGAAGGTTATGAAGCAGCTTGCTGGTTTTTGATGTATGATAAGAGTACATGGAGGGAATAAAAGAAAGGGCTCCAGCGACACTGGTGAAAAACGCACTGCGCATGCCCACAGMTTTCCCGCCAGTGGGCGCTCGCGTCCGCTCTCGTCTTGAAATCTGTAAACAGAGCGCCTGGCGATTTACAGCGACAGCACAGAAAACACTACGAAAAACCTCATTTTCTCAAAATAGAAATGACAAGATAAAAATAGAAACCACATACTAAAAGAACATATCATGAACAATGATTGATGGAAATATGAATCTTATATATCCGTGAACGAGCTTATAAATTGTAAAAAACTTTCACAAAAATCGCTTTACAAAGGAAATTAGGCAGATTTCAACGGAAAGCTGTGGACATGCGCAGTGCGTTTTTCACCAGTGTCGGCTCCAGCCCTTTAAAGGCCGTGCCTTCCCCCAGTGCTCAAAAGATGTCCCACATGTCTGAATGACTCATTGTCTTTATTACTGACTTCTTGCACTCAAAATGTTACCACGACAATAATAATAGTAATGATAATGGCTGTCCTTCGTTGCCGAAGATGATTGTCTTGTATTTGAGTTGAAGCCTATCTTAGACAGGCTCTCATGTGAAGCACGTTCTGAAACGACGAGGGATTATTCCAAAGTTCAGTTTTCGGCCGCAATTTTGAACCATTTCCAACTGACTTTCGGTAATTCTCAATCTAATGGCTATTCTGATAAGCATCCCCACCTCAATTACCGTCGGCATTTCGGTAAATATAATGTGAGTTATATAACAGTAATGTTTTCACTTGTTGTAGTACGTATGATGTTAGAGGGAACGCTGTAAATCCATCATGAAATAAAGAAAAATTATTGGATGACAGATATTTTTGGTGCTGATTGTCACAGAAGCAATGTGTATGTCAGTGAGAGCAAATGCGCATGCTTTGAGTTTTTCCAATGACTTGCATAAGCCGTCGATAAGAAAGGCGAGAGAGACTCGCAAAACTCTTCCACTTCTACTTCTACATAATTTATTTGTAAAATCCTCGGTGGGGATTACGCAAACACAAGTCTAGTGCACTTGATTTACCTCGCAAACATGTTTATTTTTATTTAAATCTTCTATAYACTGAGTAATATTTTTCAATTCTTAAAAGTCATTAAAAGATCCCAATTTAGACTTACGCGCCCTTTTGCGCCCCCTTTTCTAAACTCGCGAAACCGCAGACCTACGCGCACGTACACGACGAAATTCACCACTCCTTCCTCTAGACTACTAGAATAATATGAGTCTTACTGGGTTCGTTGATGTCTGCAGTAACAATACTTCATCAAGTGTGTATGCGTGTCTCTAACGCAGTGCGGCTGATCTCCATATTTGTTGATTCTACTAATGAAATTATTGTTTAACTGAGCATGCCCATTCATCATACGCACGCTGGCCTCAAACACTGCAGGACCAGGTTCCGCAACCACTTGAATCTGATATTGGGTGTCACGTGCAAGAGTGTCGTTGGATTTACGACCAAAAACAGCCACACAACTGTCGCACTTGTCAATTTTTACGGTGTTTTGGAATGTCTGAACTTTGATATTGGGAGCTTCTTTCCAAGCCTCCTGAATTTTTTGAAGTGTAAACGGTTGACACGACTGACGAAGGAAATCCGTCGATGAAGTCATATTATTAATATAATCTAAGAGAAAATGCGAAATTGTCTTGATTATTTGGTGATCAGAGTCTACTTTCTCCCACTGCATGCAAGGGCACCAATGAACATCGATTCCCGCATCCTGGCATGTGCGGTTTTTCCGGTCAATCCGGTTAAACAGGCTTTGACCCGTGACAATGTCGCCTGGCTGCTTTGGGTACGAAAGCACGTGACGTAGAGTCGCGTACACGTCAAATGGTGACGTCAAGATTTTTGAGTTATACTTAAGGTTGTTATAAAACTGTTTGTGTTTCTTGGAAAACCACGTCGGGAGAGTGATGGAGAGGAATGGTAGCCGCTCTTCGAGTTTTCCTTGTGTAGTCTTTCTGTAACCTCCGATTCGGAATCCGTGGTCACCAAAGATTATTACCATCGAGTTATCCAATGTCTTGGTGCTCTTTAAATCGTCCAGAAATTGAACCAGATCATCGTCAATGTACCTCAACGTATTTAACTTAGCATGCGTTAAATATGAGAATATTGCCAATGAGAACTTAGGTCTTTGCGGGTAAGCGTTGGTAAAGCTTTTTACGTATTCCAGGGTAAAGTTGTGAATCGCTTGACTTTCGAGGCAATAATCGCCACCGCCAGACATTCTTTTTTTTTGGTGGACAGAAATCCAAAATGGCCTTGCATAGTGGTCTGTTGGTGCCTCTTCAAAACCGACAAGCCTTAGATTAAAGGTTCCTAGAAAAGCCTGGTCTTCGCTTAATAACGTTGCATATCCATTGTCCTTAAAGTYTTTATAAATCCATCGCCAGTCATCGATGCTTTTGGCACCAGGCTTTCCGCGACGTGACTCTWCTTGATCTTCTTCCGCAATCCCAGTGAGCATTGCGCTGAGCTGGGCTGTAGTCCCGTCGCCTACTATACCTTCACCTTGAAAGAAAATTGTATCAACGTTGTTCCGTAAGTAATTCATGGTGTTGCGCATGTTTCGAAGAAAGTTTGCCGCTGATGTGGAGTCGAGCATAATCATGAAAACATTCAGTCCCAGACCTTCGGACTTTATGGGTCGTTTAAGGACGTTAGGATTTGGTACGAACTGCAGATGAAATTCCTCGAAGTCAAGACCGTTTAGTTTTCCTTTTACTCGGATGAATTCTGAATTTATAGSTCTTTTTGTAGTTCCTGGAAAATATAATGAAAAATAAAAAATGAGAATAATTCGTCATCTGGTGGTCAAATGAATACCAACTATCACTGCAACCTCGTTCTCAGGTCCTTTTGCCTGTCCGCTATTTCGAAAAAAAAATAGAAGAGAAGCCCTGGGAACGAAGTTGCTATTACTGGTATAAATTTTGCGTACCTTGCGCGCGCAAGTCCCTCGGAAAAGGTTTTGCGGCTGATTATAACTAGAGTTCTAGCCGTAGTCATAAATTATTAGRAATATTTTTTATGTGCTGGTTGTACTTGTCCTTATATTCCAAATAAAGTCAACACATTGATAATTTCACTTTAGTGACAACGAAACATCGTTATTTAAGCGTATTACCATTTCTGAGAATTTCCTCTAAACCAACACTTTTCTGAAAAAGTTGACGAACGCTTAGATGTATTAATTAGAATTAATTAAGTGATTTAATGGCTAGTCTCAAAATCCCAATGACGTCCAGAGTTCCCGTTGATAAATACGTATCCTAGCTATGAGGAACAGAGCGATGAAAATATGGTTCAATTAACATATATAATTGTCCAGTTTCGTGGCATTTATTTCACTCTTTCAATGAATCTCATGGTGAATTGTCATGTATTGAAAATATTGATGTGTGATTAGCCTTTTTACCACACTTATGTGAATTCTCGCACGCTGATTGCTGATATAAAGATCAGAGAACATGAATAAAAAAACATCACGTCTCGGACGCGCGTTAGTTGAAAGAAAAGAATGATTTTCACTAATTTTTAGATTTAAACGGTTTTTCGTTGTATGTCTTATATGAAGAGTGTGTTGATAAGAGGACATACTTAAACCGTGCGCAATTGTTAAATTTACACCTAAAAAATTTCTTTCAAATAAACTTACCTTCGTATTCTCCCAAACTTCTTGTATGTTTTTCAGGATTTTCTTCCATCACCGACGTGTTAAGTTTCTTGAATTTAATCTGTAAATCATCACCGGTTACTCTTGATATTTCCTCAACCACAACATCTGAAACTTCCTCTGGAAGCATTAATTTTCCGTCTTGCAATCGAGAGTGCAGCCTTCCTTCACATTTTAAAGGTTTCAAYTCCTTCAAGTATTCAAAGACACTTTTATGCCAGGGGTCTAGAATTGGTAGCTTGCACGCTGGTGGCACTATCTCATCGGTATCTATCCTGCGTGCTCTTTTTGTAAGGTATAATTTGGACATGATGGCATGATTGCGTAAGGATAAAATAGTCGTTCCAGCTAAGACAACAAGAAATATTATCCAAAATACTRACTTGGGCCAGGAGAAAAGACGCGGAAGTCTTACGCAAAAGTATCTCCTTCTAATCAGCATTCGAACACCATTCAATAACTTAGAAAAAACAGAATTAGTAGAAAATSGACTCCTTAGGGCCGTTTTTGCTTTTTGATCTCCTGTAGAATTAGATGACTCTTCCATGCTTTCAGTAAAGCTTACTTATACAAAATACACAAACGGGGTCTTCAAATGCATTATATCGCAAATGAACGGTTTTTGTAAATCATTCTTATAAAATATCACAATCACTGAGAAGATTGTTAACGAGAAACTCAAATTGCCAGGGTAATAGAATAAAATCAGTGTCATTAATTATTTACATACTATTAGTCTAATACGTCTGCCAAATCATGCCAATACTCCAGTTTCGAATTCATAGCGCAAAACCGCTGCTTTATTTGAGAACAGATTCTCTTGCGSAAAGACCTTACAAACACAAAAGAGAGCACTAGAAAATGTYGTTATTACAATAGACTTGAAAATTTGCATTTTCCCCGAGTTGAGACTAACCCTGTATTCCCATGAGACYTAAGGTATTAGCCTTCTGGGAATACAGGGTTAGCCTCAACTGGGGGAAAATGTAAATTGTTAGCGCTATTGTACAAGCAACATTTTCTCTTGTTTTCTTTTGTGTTTGGTAAGGTCTTTGCGTAAGAGAATYTGCTGTCAAATAAAACAGCGGTTATTCACTTTGAATTTGAAACTGGAGTATTCATGTGGACTTACCGCGGGCTGGAGGGGGGTCATGAAGTAAAAGGTCCTAATTTTTACCAGATAATCATATATCACGTGGTATAATATACCAAATATGGAAATTTACACTTGATGCATCTCAGTAGCAAATGAGTCTGTCGACTGAAAAGTCACATTTTTATCTTCACATTTTTTCAGAATGAATYATAATTTATCAGAAATACTCTATATTTTGAGACTTTTGCAATTTTTCCCTCCATAAAAGATTTCTGTCCATGATCCTTTTCGGTCTAGGTAGTTGAGACGAATGATGAGAGTCAGCGGCTTCACCATGAAGCGCCAAATCCAAAATGGCGGCAATCTGTGAAAAATCGTCTGATAGCACTTTTCGTGTTGTGGAGTTCTACAGCGGAATCGGAGGCATGCATTTTGCTGCAAAAGGTAGGGTATTTTATTTAGATTATTCTTGTGTTTTTTTAATGGCTTATCATTTTTATGTGATTTTGCTGTAAAGCTTAATTTGTTGGACGATCAATGAATTGCACTTTTATTTTAAGAATAATGAAASTCATTATATAGGTGACTTCTATCCCATACTTGATCCACGATAATTAAGCCTAATTTCGATATAATAACCTGTTTGAAACAAATACTGCAAATGAATCGAGACGCTCTTAGAGCGCTGAAATATACTTCGGCTACGTATGTCGGCTTAAAATGTTATAATAAATGAAAGTTAAACTACCAGGAAGAAGTCCTATAGGTTTCTTTAATGTTTCTATAGTGTATTTGGCTTTGTTCATGTATTTTTTAGTTGGTAGTTACATCTTCTGTGGTTAATTCTAAATAGGATGTGGTTTCAAGACAGAGGTTGTGGCTGCCCTTGAGATCAACAATACTGCTAATGTTGTCTACAAACACAATTTTCCTGATGTTAAGCTCTTGCAACGCAATATTGAGGTAATTTCCTTTCTACTTATACACAACTTTCAAAATGGCGGTAGTTCACAACCGCCAATATCTGGAGACTAGTGGCGAATCGTGGAAACGAGACCTCAAAGGCCTTCCATCTAGAAATCACTACGAAGATCGCATGTAGGTATAGTGTTCAAAAGTATGAAAGATTTCGTATTKGTACATGTATGTTATTTATAACAAAACACTCTTCTAAGACACCATTGAAGATTACTATATGGAGGCTGGCATCTGAATCCTCGTTTTAGTGCTTCATCCCTAGTGCCCTGGTCGGTGACTGTGATGTATCGTGCCATTTTTGAGAGCTGGAATTGACTTTTGCATCTTTGTCATCATTTATTTATTGTTTTTAGCTTATTTAATTGTCTTGCTCTCCAGACGTARACACCTGAATTTCAAAGTTTGATTACAATGAATGCTAACACTTCTATACACCTAGGGRCTGACTGTCAAAGACCTTGATGGACTGGCAGCCGACATCTTCTTAATGTCACCCCCATGTCAACCCTTCACCAGGTACACAATGCATCTCCCTACCCCACTCCCCCAGAGTTCTTCCTTTCAGTATATGAAAATCCATGAACAATCTGTTCTGATTTTTGTAGAGTCGGTCTACAAGGTGATTCCAGTGATCCAAGGACAAAGAGCTTTCTTCATTTAATGGATTTGATCTTAAGGTAAATATTTGGTATAAATATAAGGTAAAAATTGTAGACAAAAATTCTTCTTTTTCTAATTGGCTTTMAAAATAGTTCATGGTTGCAGTTGAGAAAAGCAAACACAGTAAAAAGTTGWTAAAAATATTTTTTTCATAAACCAAAATAACCAGCAACATTGACTTGTGCAAGATTAATGTACCAAAGCTTTTTGCTTGCCTTTATAAAATATTACAAATGGGTTACTTCTCAAACCAAATGAGATTTAGCAAACAGTAATAACAATGATTTAATAATAATTTTAATTAATMATTTGTATTTTTTCCAAATAAAAGTATAACTATTTGTATTTCAAAGGATGTCCAGACCTCCTGACTATCTCTTAATGGAAAATGTCAAAGGCTTTGAAACATCACACACAAGGTACTGTATGTGTCACTTG